GTAGCTACCCTATGGTTCTATATAGGGTGGCTACACAAGTAACCATCAATACATAGCTTGTGGCTGGCCTAACCTGTGGTCTATGTCAGGTTTCAAGGGCAGAACGTGGGAGACAAAGCAAGGGTCTCCTCTCAAGTCTAGAGGCTCATGTATTAAAGGAAAGAGTGAGCAAGTCTGAAATAAAAGAAGAGAGTTAGAGAGAGTTGGAAGAAAAGTAGCTGGGAACTAGGGAGTCAAGAAGAGGAGAGAATTCTCAAGTGTATCAAGGTGTTGAGCAAGGGTGTGAGAGAAACAGATTGAGAGGGTAGTGTTCTAAGGGGGTTTCCATTTGTAAACCAAAGTTGTAACCTATCTTCACTAGTGAAATTTCTCAAGGGGATCACCAAAGAGGATGTAGGCAAATTGCTGAACCTCTATAAACACTTGTGTCTTGTGCTTGATTATTTTCTGAGTGTGTGTGTAAGATTCATCCATCATTGAGTCTTGTCCAAAGTCCATCAACAACAAGGTCTAAAGGGGAGTGAGTTGGTTATAATTCACAACAATTACCTCTGTAGAGAAAAAGGATTTGGCCAAGAGTTTGTGAATGGTGTGTGATGATCCAATAGCTAGAGTAATTGACAAGCATTTCTAAATTTTTGGCAGTGAGTTTAGTAAAAAGCTTTGCTAGCTGAGAGACTGCAAGCAGAGTTAACTTTCCAAGGTGCTTATATATAAGCAGCCAGTGTTTACCAATTCAAATCAAAATATAATTTTCCTCGGAGGACTTGAGACGTATCGTTGGGTCTAAGTCTTGAGAAAAGAATGTTGGCAAATTTTGTTTTGACTTGCATATTGTATATTTTTATTTATGTTGTAATGTCAAATTGTGAATATCGACTAAACATTTACGCAAAAATCAACTTGATCAACGGCCTAAAATTCGCAATCTAAGAATTGAACGGTCTTATCTTCATTTTGCAAGAATATATCACATGAGCAACGGACATAAATAAGGAATTGAAGATTCAAGAGAGTGGTGGTGGTGTTGGCATGGGATGGGAGTGGAGACCACGGTGACGGTGACTATCTGAATTTCTTGTATCTATATATTCTTTGCTCAAATATTTCTTTTGCGTGGTTGACGTGGTGAAGTTGATGAATATAGACGGTCATGTAGGACTTACAACAAAGGTTAATTCCACATTTGGGATGGAAGGAGGACTGCAACAAAGAAGAAACTGGTTTGGATATTGCTGCAGAATTATTTGGAAAGTTTTGGGTTTTTTCTGTTGCTCTTTCCTTGACATGCATGTTTGACCTCTTTTCAGTGTGACTGGTCAGAGCTTGTAAATAATGAATTGATTAGATTGAAACCAAACACAGGTCTGATTTAATAACTCTGACATGTAGATCATTTTTTTAATTGTAATATTTGCATTATGCAATAGATAATTTTATTGTTTATAACAAATTAGTTTTTTAATTATGAGTATTCCAGGTCTTCTTTCCTTGGTCAATCTTGTATTTTTGGCTAAGTTCTTTTATTTCTCTATCTTGCAATGATGAGTCGCCTACATATTTTAGGGTATGTTTTATGGCTAAAAGTCACTTTTGGTTAGTTTATCCCTTTTTCACTTTCCGTTCATGTAGTTTTAATTTAGTCAATTATGCTCCTGTAGTTTTATAATTGTAGCAATTCAAGGACAAGTTACAAATTCCATCAATTTCTTTCACGGCTTCAGGTGTATTTCTGTCCATTTTTAGTTAAAAAAATTAGAAACTTAAATTTAAATATTTTTTTAATTGCAAACAAGAAACAAGCAATTGATTTGTCATTGAAATGAAATTCCAAAGTGACCAAAGTAGCAAATAATAATAAAAGCATTCCCAATCTAGCTCTAAATAAATTAATCAATAAACCCTAACATCAAAATCAATAGTTGACGGAAATACCCTAACCCCATTAAAGAATTTGACTGAATTCTTAACTTGGACTTGAATTGCTACAATTATGAAACTACACGGACATGATTAACCAAATTAAAACTACAAGGACGAAAAATAAAAAGAGGTAAATTACAGGACTAAAAATGACTTTTAGCCATATTTTATTTGTGTTTTCTTACTCATTTTGCACATGAATCATAACGAGTGAGCCAAATATTCTAGCAAGCCCAAGCTGCAGCCACCCTGCTCGCCTTGAGCTTGGGCCAGCCCTCTTTAAAGTCTCTCCTATGGACAGCACACCGTTAACTTTCAACTTCTAAAGCCTACTCTAATTTTACTTGATTTTCTTCTTTTTTGAGATACGAAACATCCTTACAAATTAGCTCATGCATTTGTGTCATTTTAGAGAGTTTATCATTGAAATTGAAACAGCTATGGTCAAGGCAAAACAACTTTTGAGTTATATTGTGCTGTATCTAATAACAAAAGTTTGTAGATTCGAACTTAGAACCTCTTTCAAAAAGAAAAATACTACTAAATTTATAACTAGTTAACGACCAAACAAATTTTATTACATATAATCGCAGAAGAGATTTATATAAAAAATTGGCGAGCCAATTAATAACTTACATTAGAGTCAAATATTAAAATTTTCCAAGCAAATTTATTATATTTGTTAATGTTGTTTTATTTTCGTTAAAAATAGAAAGAAGAAAAAAAGTAATTTAACATTAATAAAATCAAAATACAAGCAAGTAGCAACAAGAAAAACACAAAGTAACAAAACAATTACGGACCAGAGAATTGGGAGGTATGAAGTTCACCGACTCACCAGTGATAGAGCTCCCGGTTCGAACCGCCGTCCTTTCCCTCCAACAGGACAACGGCTCCCTCCACGTCGGCACCTCCGTCTGGCCGTGTTCCCTGGTCCTCGTCAAATTCGCCGAGCGCTGGGCCCCACCCAGCCGCGATGCCCAAAACCCCTACGCCAACCTCCTCGACTTCCACGGCAAGCGAGCCGTGGAGCTCGGCGCCGGCTGCGGAGCCGCCGGCATGGGTCTCTATCTGCTCGGCTTGACCGACATCGTCCTCACCGATATTCCCGCGGTCATGCCGGCACTGAAGCACAACCTCAAGCGCAACAAGCCCGTCCTGGGGAAGACGGTCAAGCACGCCATCGTGCACTGGAACAAGGCGGCGGATCAGGCCAAGTCTCTGAGCCCTCCATACGACGTCGTCGTGGCGACGGACGTCGTTTACATAGAGGAGACTGTGGGCCCGCTCGTGTCCACCATGGAGGCGCTGGTGAAAGAAACAGAGGATCTGACTTACAGACAAAAAATATGGCAATCTGTGAAATGCAGAGAGCCAAAACCATTAGCACCAACCTAATGCTTCTTCTAGATCAGTTTTTACTAATTAATAACCTACGTGTATAATCATGATTTTCATCAACGTAGCATTCGAGATTATCACAAGCCACGCTTTTTTCTTAGCCGAGCGAAATTGATGGAGGAGAATTTGTTGCCGAAGAATCAGTGATCTCTGAGCAATTGGTGGTATAATCAGGGCCAGAGTCATCAACTTGCCCTCTTTCAGAACCAATACTAGAAGACGAACCTGAAACTGATATTGTGAGAGGAGAAGTAGTAGTTCGCATCTTTGATGGTTGAATGGGCGCTGCAACTTCAAAGTTAAGCGTTTGAATCACTTGCTGTATTGAAGGTCTGGAATTGTAATTTGGATGAGCACACCACAACCCAACAATCAACAAACACTCCATTTGTTTCTCATCAAAATCTCCACACAATTATGCGTCAGCTGCTTCAAAGACTTTACCTTCTCCATAAAGCTACTCTACCATATTGACTTGACTACCTCCAAATTTTGGATCGATGAGCTTTCTTCCGCAGGAAATCTCCAAAGCAACAATTCCGAAGCTGAAGACGTCTGATTTCTTGCTTAACTGTCTAGTGTCAATATATTCAGGAGCCATGTAGCCTGTGGTTATCATCTGTGGCTCTTTTCCATTGCGAAACCCGAAATCCCCAAGTTTTGCGTTGAAATCAGAATCCACCACAACATTGCTTGATTTGATATTCCCGTGCAACAGAGGTTGTTCATGTAGATAGAGCAATCCCGAAGCCAAGCCTTGAACAATTTTGTACCTTAACTCCCAAGATAATAAGCTTTCTGCTTTGAGCAAATGAGAATCTAAGCTGCCGTTGGGCATGAACTCATAGACAAGTAGGAGTTCTCCTTTTTCATGGCACCAGCCAATGAGTTGCACTAGATTCCGATGCATACATCGACTGATTTTCTGTAGTTGTGGTGCATACTCATCAATCCCATGTTTAGGTCCCCTTGATATCTTCTTAACAGCAACATATGAGTTCAAGTATGTGATGTAGCCTTTGTAAACCACACCAGATCCTCCCTCCCCAAGCTTTTCTCCCTCAAAAAAATTTCTTGTCGCCAATACCAACTCCTTGTATGGAAACCTCTTCAGGGATTTCCCTTCGAAAAATTGACTCAAGTACTTAAGATTTCCATCAGTTGTTCTTGTTGCCTTTTTCTTGCACGAGTTGTACAAGCCCAAACCTAAGAAACAAACCAAGATAAATCCACCAATACTACTACCGATCACGACAGCTAGTGGTTTCTTGCGTTTTCTTGCCTTGACTTTAGAACTAGGGCTTGGGTACGGAACTGGAGTTTCAAATATTATTTCTTCTCGGCCAGAAAGAGCTAGAACTTCATTATCAACAAGTTCAGTAGAAGTAAAATTCCATGAGATGATGTTATGCAGAGCAGAACCAGCACCTGTTGAACTTGAAGCTGAGAAGCCAACAATGACCCAATCCGGCAAGTATTTATTCAGATCAACCATGTAACTAAGATAACTGATCTTTTGTTCTTGGGTATCATCATTGAAAGTCGTGAAGGCAACACTAAGATTTTTCGAGCTTGAATTATAACTAATCCAAGCACGATTTAGTTTTGCTTCAACAATACCACCATTCCAAGCCCTGGTAATATTAGACTTCAGACAGTTGATGTCAATACCTACATGATTGCCATCCGGATCCTTCACCGTTGGCCCTGAATTCCGATAGGTATCAAACTCCACCGCCACAAAAGGGTAGTCATTGCTCGGCTCAATAACGTTCTCCACCGAGCTGTTGACAGGGAGGCCGAGACTGCTACCTTTTCCTAGTGTTCGTTTTAGTAAGGAACCCCAAGGGGCTAAGAAAAAAGCGAGGCCCTCCCCATAGAAGGACATGTTTCTCTCATCAATGATGAATGCGAAACTTGTGGTGAAATCGGCGAGTTTCCCGGTGGAATTTTCCCGGAGGAGGAAGGGTTCATAGAACGTTGCTCGACCCACACTCCCAGTACTTGATTCAGCACGCAGGTTTTCTTTGTTCAGGTGAATATATTGGTTGCCGATAACAGCATCTCCCTCGGTAAATATTCTGTTACTTTGTTGGAAGGTGGGGAAGCGGAAGGTTAAAGGAGTTGCACAAGGGGTTAATAGGAGGAGAAGAAGGAGGTGATAAAGCTTTTGTGGGTGGAGTCTGAGGATGGCGGTGGCGGAGTTATAATTGGCAACCATTTTTGTTGTTGGGAGAAATATTTGTCATCTAAAATGCAGCATAAACTGCACTGCACACTACTTCATCTTCTAATTAAAATCAAAATTTTCAGCACAAAACAACTATGCACGGGTATGAGAAGAGATTATCCAAAAAGCACGAAGAGAGAAGATATCAGTAATATCTCATATGTGTCTGTTCATCTACTCTCAAAAGAAAATGAAAGAACATGAGAATCAAGTCTAGGAGGGTGAGATTTTTTTATGCGGTTTGGTATTTATATCACCCACTCAAAATCTCACACAATACAACATTTAATGAAATACCTCAAAATCGATAAGTAATTGAATACCACGATACTTTAATTCATTACTTAAGAATCCTAATTGAATACCACTGGACTTTAATTCACGACTTAAAAATTCTAATTGAATACCACTGTACTTTTAAGTTTCAAAACAATCTATTGAAATCTTAATTGAATACATCCCCCTAATGCAACTAGAAGGGTCCTATTTCTATTTTTTTTTAATTTTAAAATTTATATTTATAGTATAGCCGCGCGGCTATACTATGGTGTTTATAAATAAAATGGGTATAGCCGCGCGGCTATACTGTTTTTACAATCGCTAGCCGGCGCTAGCCGGGTGACGGGTCCTCTCCTTTTAAAAATAAATAAATATAAATAGTATAGCCGTGCGGCTATACTGGGGTCCTATTTTATTTGTTTATAGATAGTATAGCCGCGCGGCTAGACTCGGGATATTTTTAAAAAAACGTATAGCCGAATGGCTTTACTGGGGTTTTTTTTTTATATTTTTATATGTCGATATTATAGCCGCCCGGCTATACCCGGTATTTTCTTTTAAAAAAGAGTACAGCCGCGTTGCTTTACAGGGGTGGTTTTTTATATTTATTTTATAAATAGAATAGCCGCACGGCTATACGCTTTACATAGATTTTTTTATATTTCTTTGTAGTTGATTGGCGTCTAACTTTTATTGTTTACAAGAGGAAATTTTTTCATTTCTTTATTTTCATGCTCAACTTTTGTTTTAGATTTTGGATTTTTTTTTGTTTTTTGGTGGTTCAAATTTTGCCCAAGTTTGTGTTGTGTGTCATGCTGCTTAAATTTTTTTTGTTGGTAGAACTAAATTAATTTGTGTCTTTTTGTTACATTACTTGTAAATTGTTTACAAAAGGATCAAAGGGTTTTATGGAACTGTATAGATACCCCAACCTAAAACTTCTTTGATCAAATCGAATTTCAGTAATAATTCACGCAACATATGCAAATATATAATCTGGAGTTTCGTAATGTAGCAATTGAAACGATTGAAAAAATAAAAAACCATAACTGAATCGTATTATTCGTTTCGTGGTGGACATGAGAAGAAATGTGAAAGAAACAGAGGATCTGACTTACAGAAAGAAAATATGGCACTCGGAGAGAGCCAAAACCATTAATACCCACATGTTAAATCAATGGTGTCATCAATGGAGCGCAAGCCAAGCTTCTTGTTTGGTTGGTTGCTGAGAAGACATCTGAAAACGCACTGAACTTCGAGGAGTTGGATGCAGAGACAATTCACATCTTTGTCTGACTTCTTCCAATATCCAAAACCCTGTAAAACTCGCAATATAGTTTGCGCATAGATTGCATATATGGTTAACCAAATATTGATTGAATAGTATTTGATTCCCCACTTTCAACAATTTGCATTACAAAAACAATTTCACTAATTAATTTCCATTAGATTAAACACCTAAAAGGTTCTACGTTTTGGGTCTTATTACACTACAATTGGGACAGTTTTTTGGAATCAGATTTATAGACAGCCCCCTTTGTTTTGAAGCAGAAACTGATTTACTTATCGGTGTGAATAATTTAACAAAGTATTGTTATCCATCCCCTTTGTTTTGAAGCAAAAACTTATAGTATCATCCGTTCCCTTTGATATAAATAAAAATGAATTTGGCAATAAATGGTCTGTATTCATTCTGCTTCATTCCAATATTTATCCTTAGAGCATCACCAGTGATTGGGGTGTGTATAAGGGGGGAACATCACATTTACACCTATGTTGGCCGGAAATATCTAAAATGGTTAGGTGTATATGGGTGTAAGATATTCAGATTGGATTGATGATTTTGATGAAGTGATGGTAGAGATAGCTTTGGTATTTCTAGAAAATCATTGATATCTGAGATGAGAATCAAAGGATTGAGATGAAGATAAGAGAATCTGATCCAACAGTTGAAGTTGAGATCAATTTCTATCATGTCAAATCTTGAATTTTGTGTAGATCGGAAACAATAATGGATGTTGAATTGTGTGCAAAAACGTGATAAGATACCAACGGTTCAGATTAAATGTACTTTACGGTCCAACGGTCCTTATTGGATGAAATCATATCTTCTCTGAATTTAAATATTGAGTTATTTACACTAACACCCCCCCTGAGGTTTCTTGTGTTTCCACAAAACCCCCTCGGGTCTCAAAAATTACACAAACACCCCCTAAGGTTTCAATTTGTTTTCACAAAATCCTTTTTTGTTGATTGTTTGTCCAAAAATTAACGATTTCATTGAAAACAAATTATGCAAATGAAAAAATTAACCTCAATGAAGTATATGCAATCTAATCTCAAAGGCCAACTTTGTCATTTGGATCATTTTTGTGTGTATAAAATCATCAATCTTTGTGGATGAAAAATCAATGAAAAGGAATTTTGTGAAAACAATTTAGAACCTCAAGGGGTATTCGTGTAATTTCTAAAACCTCAAGGAGTTTTGTGAAAAAACCGAAAACCTCAGGGGGTGTTAGTGTAAATAACTCTTAAATATTTTTAGGTCTATTTGTTTGGAAAAATAAAATAAACATACAAAATTAATTTTATAAAGTTAACAAAAAAAAAAAAACAAATTAAGACAAGAAAATGTTCGGTTCATTTTTACACATGATTTATCATGTTATTCACCCATTATTTTGAGTTAGTTCTTGACATTTTATAGCTTTTTACTTCCTTTTTGTGTTTTCATAGGTTTTACCTTGGTTAGAATGAAAATGAGCTAAAAGTGCATTATTGGTTATAAATTTTGATTTTTGTTCATTTTCGTAGGTCAACTTCTTGTCCTTGGATCAGCTTGCTCTGGTGCTAGGATGAGGTGAAGATCTTCATGAAACTTGTTCCAACGGATGTTAACTACAACATATCCGAATTTGAGCTCCATTGGACAAGTGTAGCCTATCCAACTGATCTAACAATTGATGCTGGCTCTGGAAATCTGTTTTGGGCCAGTTTTACTTTCACTTGGTGTTACCTCATTTCTACTTGTTACCATGCCTTTTGGTAACAAGAAATTACTTTGGTTAAGAGATATTTTCTGAAACAAAGAGCATCTTGGTGAAGACAAGAGCAAAAGAAACCCATCATGGCAAGGGGACAAAGGCAAACCATACCATTTGGTAACAAGAAATTACTTTGGTTAAGAGATATTTTCTGAAGCAATGAGCATCTTTGTGAAGACAAGAACAAAAACAACCCATCATGGCAAGGGGACAAAGGCAAAGGCTTTAACAAAAGCAAGACTTTATATTAAAAGTATGAGCTGGAAATGATGGGCAAGGGAGTGCAATCTGAAATGATAGGGCTATTGAACGTGGGGGAAGGAATTCATTCATCATTCCAAACTTTGCAGAGATTTTGGGAGCTAGAGAGCAAGAAGGAGGAGAGCAAGGAGCAATCAAGGGGAGGGGAGAATGGCATAACAATTAGAGAGAACCTTGGGGAGCCTTGAGGCAAGGATCCAAGGGGTTGAAGATGCATTCTCTTTCTCCTCTTTGTTCTTAGTTTCTTTCATTTTATTTGTTTCTTGTA